CAGGCACAGCCCGTCCGCGATCTCCCGGATCTTGTAAATGTCGGAGAACATCTCATCGTGGCTGATGAGGTCCCGGTAGATAATCATGATGGTGGCTGAGGGAGGTGGCGGCCGCGCAAGCTTAGCAGGAACCCAGAGCTCAGAGCAAGCGCGGTGCAGCCGGAGCGGCGCTCGGGGGGAGGGGGGAGCGGGCGGAAAAGCCCTATTCTTATTTTTAAATGATATATTTTGATATGTTTAATTTGAATTTTTTTATCCCAGTCTATTACTGTGTTTTTATCTTGGTACCAAACATTTACATTCTCTTTGTATTAAGAATTTTAATAAAATTTTAAATTTTCATTAAAATGATTGTGGTTTTGCCCATTAATATACATATTGCTACTAGTAAAATCATTATAATTCCTAGGTAGTTTTGCCTATAGATTCTATACTTACCTCTAATCCTTTCCAATTTTGCAACCCAAGTTCACCAAGCAGACTTTTCTGGCTCACGTATGAAAATAAAATACATGGTCAGTCTTTGTATATTTATTAATATCTTTGTTTTGTCATAATTTATAGATAAAGAAGATGTGGTATTCATACCTAATAGACTACTACTCTGCCATATGAAACACGAACTTTTTTGTTTTCTTTTTTGACAGAACCAGGGATTGAACTCAGGCCCTTGTGCTTGCCAGGCAAGCGCTTATTCTACTGAGCCATCTCTCCGGCCCCCACAAACTTGAATCCTCTGTAGGGAAACTGATGCATGTCAGGACACAATGTGGACTGCAGTAAATCAGACACGTGAGCTTACGTGCCCCACAGCTTCTCTCCTTCTCTGTGGAGAAACCCAAAACACGAAAAGCCAAAAAGGAAACCTAGATAATAGGAAGGAGGGATGACAGGAAGTGACAGATCTTTTCCAAATGAGAAAGGGATCAAGGGATGGGGGAAGCAGGGAAAGGAGGGAAAAGGGATGAGAAAAGAATTGAGATGTGTTCTGTGCACGTGCTAACTTTCCACCAGGAATGGGATCATTACACAGTGCAAACATGAGCTAGTAAAAGATAAAAAGTAAAAAAACAACAACAACAACAAAAAAAAAAAGTATGAATGAGCATCTGACTGCACATAGGAGGGCTCAGAGCATCCATCCTTTTATGTAAAATCTATAAAAGGCTGCTGACACTGAATACCTGAGCAGAAGACTGAAGCCACCTTAATTTTTCCTCTTCGGGGTCCTGTTCTATCTTCAATGCATGAAACATTCTTTATTTCTAAAGATGAGTAAGCTCCCTCAAGATCTATCATTCTGTTGTTGATCATTGTTTCACTGAACTTGGTAAGGCTAAGGCTGTGTGATGGGGAGATTCATTTATTTTTTCCAATTCAGGCGAGGGTTTTTGTTTTGTTTTGTCCTATTTTCCTTTATATATGCTTTTACCCTCATTTTGGTATGTTCTCTATTCCAGGACTTGGTTCTTTGCATATCTATCTCTGTTGTTCTTATCCATCATCTCATTGCTTATCTTTTTATTCTTCTTTCTTCATCCTTTTCACTTTTCTCAAATTTTCCCTCATGTCTCCAATTCAGTTTTCTGCAAAGCCAAGTTTTCTTCTTCTTGTGTGTAATCGACTGATTAGCTCTGCAGCAGAATTCATTCTGCCCTTGACTTATTTTCCTTTATTTTCTCTTCTCTTGTTCATGTTATCTTGTTTTACCATCATATCATTGATCTTAAGTTTCATGGGGATTCTAGTTTAGTCAATTTTCTTGAAAATGAATATTTCTGATGGTGCCATCATTTAAGCTGAGACCTAGAGCAGCTTAGAGGAAGACATCTCCTGGGTGGGGAGGGGATAGAGCTGCTCCTGACTGTCCACAGGGTCCTTCATTCTGTAAGCTCTTTCTTGCCCTAGTTCTTCCTGCCTAACAGGACAAGGGTCACTAACCTCAGTTACAGTCTTGCGTTAAAGGAAAATAGCTTTTAGATAAATTTCCCAAAAATACACGTTTGGCACTGGCTAAATGACCATGACTATGTGGAAAGCCCTACAAAATAAATCAACATGCCATCTAAATGTCATTGGGTGGACAGTTCATTGCTGTGATCTCCTCCATCCTGTCCAACTCAAGCAGTGGCATGATCCTAGAAGAGGATGATAACTAATCACTGAAACAGTCACAAAACCACACTGCAAAGCCTGCCCCAGATTGGCTGGATGGCTTCTGGCGGCCACATCACTCCTTGTGGTTGATTAGCGTGGGCTGGTTTGGGGAGGGCGATCGCTCCAGTGACACTCCCTCTTGTTGTCTGTCTTTCCTTTATCCTTACCACGCTGTCTTGAGGAGCCTTTTTAGGTTTTGCTTCCTGGTCACACAGTCCGTGTTCTCTCTTCTCTGCTCTATCCATTCACCTGCTCTGGACACTTGGGCCCTTCCTTTCTTCTAGACCAGCTTTTTCTAGGGATAGACCTCATTGGCTTTGCCTGCTCTTCTGGCTTCCAGAAGTCCCACCTGGACCAACTCTTGAACTCCCAGTCGCCCAGAGACAGAGGACAGGAAATCTTGGGAATGATCCAAGACACATCCTTAGTCCTAAAACAAAGCCACGCATGTTCCAGTTTTCAGCTGACTTCCTTCTTTGGCACTTGTCTGCTGCATGAAGAGAATTTTCCAGAGCTTTGAAAGCATATAATGACCATCTCTAGGTCTCCTTTTTCTAAACTGTGATTTAAAAAAAAAGCAAACGAACTTGAACTTGATGATGAAGCCGAAAAAGCCAGCACAAGACCTCTCTCACTCCAGCTCCTTAAAAGTCATTGCTTTCAACAGCTACATTTTCTCCGTGAGTTGAAGACTAAGTTCCCAGTGACACACAATACATTTTCACTCAATTTACACCATTGTCACATTCTTTGACATTTATATGCATATGTAAACCACACAAAAATATTTTGTGTTTATATATTGTACAGAGTTAGGATGTAGAACTGGCTATTCACAGCAGGATTTCTTTTATCTACTCCTGAATGTGATGAATGGGATAGTTAAATATTGTACCAAAGACAGAAAATGCTCTGGTATGTGAATTGTTCCACTAGGGCAAGCTTTTCTGGCCAAGTACCAGTGGCACCTACCAATGACTGAAAGAATAAAAAAAAATCATTCTAAATTTACAAAATGCCTCTAGAGGGTGGTACGTAGTTCCTTGAGAACTGCTGATTTAGATAAAATGATTTTTTTTTCAGTACCAGGGATTGAACTCAGGACCCTATGCTTGCCAGGCAAGACTTATTCTACTGAGCTATCTCCCCGGGCCTAGGACACCTTTAATAGATGCATTGGCCAGACCATTGGGTAGATGATCATCTAATGAGATAACACATTCAGAGTTTAGAACAGTGCTTGGGCTGTTGTATGCTCTGTATATATTTTCACTACATAAAGAAACAAATGGAATAAGTAATAATCAAAATAAATATGCTCACTTTTTTCAGTTAATGAGCAGACAATTATGAAAGCTGAGTCCATGTGGCCAGGTGATCTTTTGTTTAAAAAAGTGATATAAAAGGCATGCAACTTATAGGTCATTGTTGCATAAAAAGGAACAACAATAATCTAAATATTTTCTTTTATAAGCAAGACATAGTGTACTATAAATGTTGTTGGCCTCTGGGGAAGGGAATTGGGTAGCTAAGGGAAAGGAGAAGAGAAAGGCAGCATTTCATACACTTTTAAACCTTAAGTGAATGAAATGCTTAATTAGCTATAAATAATAAGTATATCTTTAAAATTTTAGTTAATTTAATCAAGCATATATATCAAGATAATAAGATTCTTTGTGGTAGTCACAAATCAGAGCTTCATGCAGATGACACTATTATTTGCTTTTAATAACCAAAACAACTTTTAATAGTGTTTCTCAAGTCCCTTGGTTCTCTATTATTCGTTATTAAAATCAATGTCAATCATATTCCCTGATACCATACAGTTTAATTTTCATTGCATAGAGAAATGCACCTGTCTTGGTTTACTAGTCAGACCTAGTTCATTCCCCCCAATCCCAAAGCCTCTAGGACTCTGAAGGATAGTAGACAGTGATAGCTTTGGATTATTTGGATAATCTAACCTGTTTGGGCCTTCTGACAGAGTAAGACCTGATCCCAATGGAGCTGGCAGGTGGGAGAGAGGAGACAGTGGGACCATGTGAGACACATAGAAGGCACAGCAAAAGGAATTGAGAGACCCAGGAGTTTAGAACTATAGAATCCCAGATTTAGAAGGAAGCTTCAGAGACAAATCCCACTGACTCCTTGTTATGGTGTAGACCTGGAATGTTCTCCCCCCCCCCACCAAAGCCTCAGCTGTTCAGAGGTGGAGATTTTAGAAGGTGATTGGATCTAGGTACACCGTACTCATTGGTGGGTTTGTCCATTAGTGATCTCAGGGTCTGAGTGAGCTGTGGAGAGGAGGGGCTACTTAGTCAGAGTTGGTGGGTTGCTAAGGATGTTTCTGGAAGATTAGAGCTCCACTCTGGCTCTGCTCTTTTCTCTCTGCTTTCTGTCTGCCATGATGTAAAGAGCTTTCCTCTCTGAGGGCCTTCTACTCTGCTGTTTACACACTGAAGCTATCAGACCATATTCTGAAATTTCTGAACCTTTCAGTCAAAATAATCCTCTTAATTTGTGGGTGATGAGTACTGCGTCCAACAAAGAAGAAAGTGGCTAAGACACTAATTTTCCTTCCTTCTTTCCCCTGTCCTTCCCCCTTCCCTCTTTTCCACTTTCTACTGTCCCTTCCTCCTCCCCCTCTTCAATACTTCCCTTCCCCTCTACCCTCTCTCCCTCTCCCTCTTTCCTTAGCAGATGCTAAACCGAGGTTCAAAGCAGAGAACATTTTCTAAGGTCAATACTGAGTGGGTGGCAGATCTGGAATTCAAAGCCCAGTCTTCTTTCTCATGCAAGAGATGCAGGGCTGGGGATATAGCTCAGTGGCATAAGCACCTGCCTGGCAAGTGAAAGATCCTGAGTTCAATCTCCGATACCACAAAAAAAAAAAAAAAAAAAAAAAAAAAAAAAAAAAGAAGAGCTACAGATGTCAAGGGTGGTGTCCACTGTCTCTGCAACCTTGCTGAGTATTTCCTTTGTTGCATTTGCAAGGAACATGGCAGGGAGGGATGGTGAAGGGGTTAGCATGGGCCTCTGTCCTGAATGAAGTTTAGAAAACCTTTAGGAAGCACCTGAATAGCCACAATTTTCAAACAGAGGCTGTGTGACTGTGGCCTGGAAGTTGTAACAAGGTTCAAAATCCTGCTATGGCAAGGCAAGCCCAGCCCAGGGATGGCTACTAGGGCCCGCCCTAGCAAACAAAAAACACCATCCTGGTTCAAGTACAAACCTCCCCTCAGCAAGGACATGTAGAAAGACTCAGTTATGTTCTGTACCATAAACCCCCTCTAGGCACATCCGATAACTCATAGGACCTTTCTTACAAACAACTTGTGAATACCCTTATGCGCATCATCAGGGTCCTTGAAAAGCCAAAATATAAATGTCGTATTTTGTACCAAATTCAGCATGGTGTTTGCAAGACTGCTATCCTTTCTGGTCAGCACCGTGGGGCCTCAGAGACAGTCTCACCTACTTAGAACAACTGTCCCTGGAAGATTTGGGGGCATTTTTTGGTCCTTTTCTGCTCTTCACAGAAAACTTAAGATAATTGGAAGAGATTCTTACATCTATTTTCAAATTAGGTTAGAAAAGTAGATTAAAGGTTTTATGCCAAGGAAAACAGAGATAAATATGCAAACATAAATTATGGAGGTATTAATAATTACACATTTGTGCTAAGTAACTAGAAAATTATTTGAACATTGATTCCATTTACATATGTTCATTCAGATTTGCCTCCCTGAAGCATGCAAGTCTTTGGGGTTTGAAGCATTTAATCACTTAGTAAGCAGCCCTCCATGGAATGTTGCCATTTATTTATTGTCTTTATTGATTTTTTCCTGCACAAGAGAATGCTAGTGGGACACAAAAACTGGCTGCCGGTGTGAAAGAACTCGATCTTTTCTAACACTGAACAAAAGCGCCTGTCTTTGCCTCTTTCTTTTAAAGAGCAACCTATTTCTTCAAATCGAGTCAACCAGGACCAGAGAACTACTTCTCAATGTGCTCATCAGCAGGCCCTCTCATGTCCTCAGTGCCACTCAGTACTTCCAGATGGATTCCCTGGCTGGCGCTTGGTTACCTGCGTGGGTAGAATTTTAGCTCTTAACTAGAGCGGAATAGATAACTTGGCTCATAGTTGGTACAGGGGGCTAATACTGATTCTTAATCGATGTGGAGGACCCTTGCCCCAACACAATTTCTGGAAAGCCCTCAGACCCAAATCATTGCCTACACATGTTTTTCTTAGTTTGCGACATAATTTGGATCTAGAATATTCCTACAGTAGCTCATGGTGAAGGCTTGGCCCGCACAGCAGCAGTAAACGAAGGAAGGGCTTTGGGGAAAAGACTGGTCACAAGGCTCTGGTCACTTCAGGAACTCATTGATAGGATCGTGCTTGAAGGGACTATTGGGAGGTGGTGGGAACTGTAGGAGGTGGGGCCTAGCTGGGGGAACGATGTCCTGGAAAGGCTTTCTTGTTCCTGGTCCCTTTCTCACTATCTTGCTCCCTTTGCTGTCTGACTGCCATAAAGTGGGCAGCCTCCTCTGCACCTGTTCTCCCTGCCATAATGTCTCTGCTCTACCTTTGTCCCAAAGCACTGGGGCCAGCCAACCATGGACTGCAGTCTGTGAAACCATGAGCCAGTAACCTTTTTCTCTTTTAGGTTGCCTATCTCAGGTGTTTTGTTACAACAACAAAAATCCCACTAACACAGGCTATTGTTCACTAAGAAGAGGAAGATAGACACAACAGTTAATGCACAGGAAGCATTGAGCTTAGAATTATCGGATTTGGCCTCAGTCTCTTACTGTAGCCTCCAGGCCGAGGGTCTGCCAGGTTGGGTACTGTTAGTATGAAGTTGTTGTCTTTGTCACCTACATGTTTGAAGAGATCATTTCACATATTTTGCTCTAATAGTAACCCCATTTTATAGATGAGGACATAGGAAGGGTAAGTAATTTGCCCAATCATAGCATCATCCTTGGAGTGCCAGGTAACACTCAGACCTTGATCTGAGTGACCAAACACAAACATTTCACCAGAAATCCAGCCGTCTTCCAGCTGTATCATCTGCTGACCATCCAGCTTAAAGGTAAGAGGGACCAGTCTCTGCCCCCTTGCTCTCTGCCTGGGCTAGATATTTCAACCTTCCCCTACTGCTCTGAATTTCAAGTGCAAGTAGAGCGTGACAGTGTGATTATGACTTGCTTGAATTGGGAAGAGAGTGATAGGAAGCCGGAAATATTAGTTGACAAGGTACCATTACATTTCTGGAACTTAGAAATCCAGTTCCATTTTCCTGCAAGTCGTGGAAAGTAATGGCCTGTGCAGAGTTTCCACCTTCACCCTTGGCGTATTGGCCTTTCTTTTGTATCCTGGTTACCATCCTTTCCAGGGGAAGGATCCCAAGATCTCTTTTTCAATAGTTTTACCATGGTACTAAGCCTTCCCAGGGTGGCTTTCTCAATAAAGCCCCCTCTCCTGGAGCCAGGTGAGTAGTACAGGCAGAAGGATTCACCCCAGAGAACAGAAATAGGTGACCAGAACCATGGAAAAAACTAACCTCTCCCCCAATAGGCATTGCGGGTACTGGGGTCAAATATAAGTATTGCCTAAGGGCCAGGGAGATGGTTCAGTGGAATAGGCGTTTCCCTGGCAAGCGCAAGAGCCTGAGTTCAATCCCCGGTTCTGGAGGGGGGGGAATATATATATATATATATATATATATATATATATGTATTGCCTGACAGCCTAGATGGGGCAGAGCTAGACCAAGACCCACTGGAGCAGCAACTGCCAAGAGGAAGCCCAGAGTGAAGACAGGCAAACAGCTCCAACAAAAAGGACGCTGAGTCTAAAAATACTCATCAGGACTGTTTAGAGTTCCCCAAACTCAACTCAAGTAGAGACTTAACATTTCAGGGATGACTCCTTGAGCAGGTGGGACATAACTCCTCACCCCTAAGCATCAGTTACCATTTATGACTTCTTTCCAAAGAGCAGCATATGGAAAAAAGGGGAAAGAGCCTCTCCAGGGGAGGATCTTGGCAGATGCAAGACCGAGGTGAGCACTGAGAAAGAAAATGCCCCTGACATTTAGAAACTAGTCTGGCTTTCACAGCTAAACCATGTTATTTCCAGGGGGACACTCTCATGCAGAAAACTAAACTCTAAGTTATTCTGAGAGGATGATAAAGTGAAATAAATCACTTCTCAATTTTGTATAATTACAGACAATAGCAAAGTCACTCCGTCACCCCAAAAGTACCAAATACCTGCTGAGAGCCAGGCGAAAGAGTGACCACTACCTCTTTATCAATTATAGCTTTTCTCTGAGCTAGTCTCCTTCCTATCATTAAGATTCTGATACGTATAGCATCTAAATGTAGTAGATTGATATAAATAAGGATAAGCCTGCCTTTGGCTAGAGATGTACTATATCCATTCTTGGAAGAGGCAAAGAAAAAAAGAAACAGTCAGTTCAAATCCAAATTCTAATTTTATAAATATAAAATATCCAGGTTGCTACAAGATTATCACGATTTCTAGCCATGCTCAGACAGTAGTTCTTTGTGTAGGTTGTTCAACAGGGTTGTACCAGCCAGCAGGAGAAAAAGCCAGACTCAAAAAAAAAAGGATGCTTATTTACAAGAAAGCAACACTGATCACCCACACAACTTCCTGCCTTTGTGGGTGTTTTTTTTTTTTTTCAGAAAGACTTAGCCACGCAGAAATTCTATTTCATCTAACAGGATAATGTTCGATTTTGTAAAATATATAGCACATATGATTTGAGTGTGTCCCCTAAGGGTTCATAGTATTAAATATGTGGTCCCAGTATAGTGATTTGGAAAGTGGTCGGAACCAGTGGGTGGCTAATAGGTCACTGGTGATATTGCTGTTGGAAGGGATCAAGTAGTTTTTGTGGGCCTTTGATTCTGAGAGACTGACTCATTTAACAGACCAAACCTGGGCCCTCTCCCATCACAGGCTTCCTGTATCACCAAGTGATCTCTCCCTCTTGCATACAACCCTGTCGTGATACCACCCAGCATCAGGTGATACAGATGGGGGGCCCTCGCCAGAGCCTGCATTTTGCTCTTTGAATTTTTAGCCTCCCAATCAGGAGCTAAATAACACCTTTTTATTTAAAAGTTACCCAGCCTCTAGTAAGTTAGTTGTAACAATGGGAAATAGATTAATATAATCGCAATCATCTCTTATTTTGATGTTAGCTTTTCAATAAAATTTTGATTTTGATGGGAGGTAAAACAACACTTATACTAGCCTCAACTCTCAAATAAGATTTATTGACTCAGTCAGTTATGGAATTGCTTTGCTTTCTGATAGCATACAACCTAATGGGAACTTCTGCTTCCTTAGACCTGCTCCCAGATCCCAACCAAAACTTAGTCCCACCAGGCATTCTAACATTCTCCTCCTGAGACACCTCACGATTCCCCTTGGAAGGTATTCTTCCTATCTTAGTTACTTTTCTTGTTGCTAAAGCAAAATACCTGACACCTAAAGTTAAAGGAAGAAGGATTTAGCTCCAAGGCAGGGTGCCATAGCAGAAAGCCATCACAGAGGAGAAACACTTCTTGGCAGGCAGAGCAACTAGCTACAAGTAACTAGCAACAGGTCTCCTTCTGTCCTTCATGTTGTATCCAGGACATCACTGCCTCTTCAGGGCCAATGGCATTCACATCTTTAATCCTAATGTCCTTCTAGCCTTTCATCATAAATCAATCATACTCTAGATCCAGCCAACTCTACAAAAGCCTCACCTAGGACTACATGAGACTTTGAGGGAACATCTAGACACAAACCATAACACTCTCTTAATATCAAGGAGTAAGAAATCCAATGGGTTTATGTCCAGGTGTGTCCCTGGGAGTCTTTGATTGAAAGGCATTCATAGCATCAGCAATAAATCACATTCCCTCAATATGAAGTAAGGTAAGAATAGCACCTAACCTCTGCAGTCCTCCTCCCACAAATCCATGGTCCCAGTCTGGCCAGGAATAAAGGGCCAGACAAACCAAAATTGAGGGGCGCTTCATGAAATTCATGGCTTCCGCTCTTCAAAATGGTCAAAGTCAACAAAAAACTAAAAAAATCTGAGGAACCACTACTGTCTAGTGAGACCTAAGGAGACCTGATGAATGAATATAATATGGTACCCTGGATAGAACTTGGGGACCAGAAAAAGGGACATTTGATGAAAATGAATACAAATGGAGTAGTGAACACAGGTTAGGTGATATCTTTTTTTTTTTTTTTTTTCAATTTGTTTTTAAGGGATAGATTTTTACTTCAGGGTATAATTAAAATGATGCTGATAACATAGTGTGTCTCTCCATCTCTCATGTCTTACAATCTTATCTCACATTAAGCAATGTGACTGTTACAGCTCAGACTTGTGCCCATTTTAGGTTGAAAACCCAGAAACTAGAGCATTGGATTGGCCCAACCTCATCCAGTGCACAAGGTGGCCAGTCCAAACCCTGTGCTCCTTCCTGGGCTTGGAGGTCCGCTCCAAGGTCAGCTCCACCAAAATCCTGAAGGTCAGCAGGATTCCTAGGGATTGAGCGAGAGCTGTTTCCCAGAAGAAAGACTAGCTGGCTGGCAGGAGTGCAACTAACTTAGTATCCCTCTCACTTTTGAGAGCAAGGTCCTTATTTCCCCTCTTATTTTAACTTCTCTTCTTTGTTCATGTAAGGTTTCTTTTTTATTAATTTTATTCAGAAACAAATAGCAATGAGACAGTTTCAAAACCAATTAATACATTGCATATTGTTGTCTTCGTAGTAGTTATTCATAGTACAAGATGCAGACATGATACCCTGTCCAAATACTATTAGTACAAATCTTTCTTTTCATTGAATTAAGAGAAAGTAGCTGTATATCTATCCTAACTATTTTGTATATACAGATACAAAATGGTCTTTCATTTGTATCCCCTTTTTTTGTTTAGTTTTGTCAGAGATGGTTGCTCATATAAGGTTTAAAAAAAAACATGTTCAAGCTTCACTAGATGTTTCAGTTAGCTCATCACCTAGCTGTTTTCCTTCTACTTACTGATTCTATTTAGGCCCATTTCTGTTACAAAAGCATAGTGGCTTGCACCTATAATGCCAGCACTCTAGGAAGCTGAAGCTGTAGGATCACAAGTTCAAACCTAGCCCAGGCAGTATAACATCTGTCTTAGTTACTCTTCTCTCGTTGCTGGGACAAATATCCGACACTCAAAATGAAGGAAGGAAAGGTTTATTTAGCTCACAGTTACTGGAGGTTTCAGTCCATACTCAGCTGGGTCCAAC